TACTACAAATCTCCTCTTATCATTATGTTTATATCGATAATATAAAGTGATACATTTATTGTTGAAGACAGCATCTATTTGCATTGAAGATAATGATATTTCATTCTTTTCCAAGTTCTTGCCAGTCAAATACTTTTGTAAGGTTGAATTGGATTTTCGATGATTACTTTCATGTTTAATATACAGTATGGGACAAAAAAAATATTGTTATCAGGAAATCTTTGTAAATTTACTAAAAAACAACCCAAATTGTTTCAAATAAAAATTAAACAAATCTTTTCTTTTAAAGCTATTTTAAACAAGTTTTGTAATCGAGGATGTGCAAGTGACGTTCCGGGAACACAAAATTTTAACCCACGCAACGCAATTTGGTGATTGACCAATCAAAATCGTGAATTTGATAACGTAGAAATAAATATTAATATGGGTTTGATTCATTTTGTCAACACTCACCTCACCAACAATTATTTCGTTAACGAATCTAAGAAGTTGAAAGCAACCATATAACAAACCATTGAAACAGTCTAATAAATTAAATCGTACTACTCGAAAATGTATTTAAAGGGTTGGTTTTCGACTTGGTTGAAGAATAACTCTTCTTCCTAACTCTTCTCTTGACCATATCTCTCGATATAATCAAAATAAGCTTGACATAATGAATGTCAATGAAATGATTGTAAAACGCGACCAATTTAAGATATACGATCAAGAGGAAACATGAACGATTTTGATTGGTCAATCACCAAATTGCGTTGCGTGGGTTAAAATTTTGTGTTCCCGGAACGTCACTTGCACATCCTCGATTACAAAACTTGTTTAAAATAGCTTTAAAAGAAAAGATTTGTTTAATTTTTATTTGAAACAATTTGGGTTGTTTTTTAGTAAATTTACAAAGATTTCCTGATAACAATATTTTTTTTGTCCCATACTGTATATTAAACATGAAAGTAATCATCGAAAATCCAATTCAACCTTACAAAAGTATTTGACTGGCAAGAACTTGGAAAAGAATGAAATATCATTATCTTCAATGCAAATAGATGCTGTCTTCAACAATAAATGTATCACTTTATATTATCGATATAAACATAATGATAAGAGGAGATTTGTAGTA